AAGTGAATTCTACTTCCCTTAGTGTTAATTTGGCTCCTCGCACCACCACTTCAAACTCCCGCCAGTCTGAACCAGTTTTGTTCATCATTTCATCTTAAATTAGCTCAAATAAAGTGTAAAAATAAAACACCTCTGTGTGTTATTTATCTAAATCAGGATAACTCTTCAAAGTGTTATCTGTTTACTTTCCAAACATGAATATAACTCTTGATTTCAGGTTAAACAGGAACTTTGGTCCAGTGTTACTTAATGAACATTACAAAAAATATTAAATTAACTCTAGAACAGACTGAACTCATATAAACCCTGAGAAAATGTTAAAAATGATTCTGTGAGTCACTTTTAACACTTCACTTTTTGCTGTGTACAAAAATATTATTCTGAAGTAACGTTACTCTTACTTGAGTAGAGTTTTGCGCGTACCCACTTGTGATCGTGCACGAGCTCTGTCCACTTGAGGCGGAGCTCCTGTCCACGTTCCAGAGCGCGCGCACCGTCCTCCGCGCGTGACCCGCTCCCTGTGCGCGTGGACACGTTTCATAAGGCGTATGGATCGCGCGTGTCTGATCATTAGCAGCGGCATGAGCGGCACATAAAAGCCTGACCCCCATAAATCCCATTTTGGAGCCGGATCAATCCTCCTCCAGGAGCCGGCTCATCGATCCCCGCGGCCGCCTTTGTTCCACCCAAAAGAGGCTTCGATTGCACTTTTTACCGCCGCCACGGAGCTTCCCCAAATGAAGCGGTGACATTTTAATTACAGGACATTGATAAAGGGAGCGGGCTAATGGCGCTAAACAGGCCCCGGCATCAACACATAATCTAGTCCGACGGCTGCGGAAAGGTCAGGCCGACGAGAGCGCGCCCAGAGCGGAGGGGAGAGAGGAGGAGAGAGAGAGGAGAGGAGGAAAGGGAGAGGAGAGAGTGGAGGAGAGAGAGAGAGTGGAGGAGAGAGGAGAGGAGGAAAGGGGAGGAGAGGAGAGAGTGGAGGAGAGAGGAGAGGAGAGAGTGGAGGAGAGAGGAGAGGAGAGGAGAAGAGAGGAGAGAGTGGAGGAGAGGAGAGGAGAGGAGAGAGGGGAGGAGAGAGGAGAGAGAGAGAGGAGAGAGTGGAGGAGAGAGTTGAGGAGAGAGAGAGGAGAGAGTGGAGGAGAGAGGAGAGAGAGAGGAGAGAGGAGAGAGTGGAGGAGAGAGTGGAGGAGAGAGGAGAGAGAGAGTGAGGAGAGGAGAGGAGAGAGAGAGGAGAGGAGAGGAGAGGAGAGAGTGGAGGAGAGAGTGGAGAGAGAGAGGAGAGAGGAGAGGAGAGAGAGAGAGAGGAGAGGAGAGGAGAGAGGAGAGAGTGGAGGAGAGAGGAGAGGAGGGAGAGAGAGAGAGAGAGAGGGAGAGTGGAGGAGAGAGAGAGAGGAGAGAGGAGAGGAGAGAGTGGAGAGAGAGAGAGAGAGGAGAGGAGAGAGTGAGAGGAGAGAGTGGAGGAGAGAGAGAGAGGAGAGAGTGGAGGAGAGAGGAGAGAGAGAGAGGAGAGGAGAGAGTGGAGGAGAGAGGAGAGGAGAGAGTGAGAGAGAGAGGAGAGAGAGGAGGAGAGAGGAGAGGAGAGAGGGAGAGAGAGGAGAGAGTGGGGAGAGAGAGAGAGGAGAGAGTGAGGAGAGAGAGAGTGGAGGAGAGAGGAGAGGAGAGAGGAGAGAGTGAGGAGAGAGAGGAGAGAGTGGAGGAGAGAGGAGAGGAGAGAGGAGGAGAGAGTGGAGGAGAGAGGAGAGAGAGAGGAGAGAGTGAGAGAGGAGAGGAGAGAGTGGAGGAGAGAGTGGAGGAGAGAGGAGAGGAGAGAGGAGAGATTAGAGGAGAGAGTGGAGGGATTGAGGGTGAGGACAGAGTGAGGGTAGAAGGTGGGGGAATGTGGAGAGAAAGTGAGGAGGGCAAGAGCGAGGGATGAGAGGGTCCCAAATGAAGACACATGGTCAAATCACGTGTTTGATATTCAGAGGAGACGGACTCAGCACTGATCCGAGTCTCTGTACGTGAATGACAAATGAGCCTGACACACGAGAGGAGCCGAGAATTGACTTGAATCAGACCTGGTGCTCAGACTTCAGCACTCACACCTCACAGCAACAAGGTTCTGGGTTCCATCCCGGGGTTGCTGGGGCTTTTCTGTGTAAATGATGTGTCTTCTCTCTGTGTCAACGTGGCTTTCCTTTGAGCACCTTAGTTTCCCTAGAACGTAGAGAAAAATCCCACACACCGTCTTGCCCGACGAAGGCCTAGTGCCAAAACGTTGCATGGTTTGTCCTAATCTCACAATTTGCAAGTAAGAAGGTGTGCAGGATTTTTCTCCATGTTCTTGGGCTGCTCTCCCTCCTCCAACACTTCTCAAGTAACTGCTGTGCAAAGTTCTCATTCTTTTATAGCACTTTAGTTTCCCCCATCAAAACAAAACATGCACAAAATCCTTCAGTTAAAGTCCAAACATCTGCTCTGACCTTTTTTTCTTTTTTGATATAAGGATCTCTCTTTATCTATTATTTTCCCTTCATGTTTCAGTCATTAACCCATACAGTTTAGCTCTGACAAATAAAAATAAAATAAAAACTCTCTTTAGACAATAGAATGTGAATTTCCAGTATTAAATGGTCGTACTTTCTTTTCATGTGTTTTATGTATGTGTGTGATGGTCAGTGGTGCAGTAGGTTCATGTTGGTCCATGTGTGTGTACTAGTCTATGTGCTCTGACACTTGTTCTGATACAACTCAACATCATTCTAAAGATATTCAGAAAAGGTTAATTTCTGCTCTGTCAATGGGACATTTTAGTATCGATACTTTCTCAAATTAATATCTAGTTTCAAAACTAGTTTTATTATTGATGGCAGATTTATCACAGAGTGTGTGTGGTGTGGGTGAGGAGTGTGTGGTGTTGGTGAGGAGTGTGTGGTGACGGGAGTGTGTGTGTGGTGAGGGGAGTGTGTGTGTGGGAGGTTGGGGGTGGGGGCAGTGGGGGTGAGGAGTGTGTGTGTGTGGGTGAGGAGTGTGGTGAGGAGTGTGTGGTGTGGGTGAGGTGTGTGGGTGGGTGAGGAGTGTGTGGTGTAGGTGAGGAGTGTGTGTGTAGGTGAGGAGTGTGTGGTGTGGGTGTGAGGATGTGTGGTGACGGGAGTGTGTGTGTGTGTGAGGGGAGTGTGTGTGTGGGAGGTTGGGGGTGGGGGCAGTGGGGGTGAGGAGTGTGTGGTGTGGGTGAGGAGTGTGTAGGTGAGGAGTGTGTGGTGTGGGTGAGGAGTGTGTGGTGTGGGTGAGGAGTGTGTGGTGTAGGTGAGGAGTGTGTGGTGTAGGTGAGGAGTGTGTGGTGTGGGTGAGGAGTGTGTGGTGACGGGAGTGTGTGTGTGGTGAGGGGAGTGTGTGTGTGGGAGGTTGGGGGTGGGGGCAGTGGGGGTGAGGAGTGTGTGGTTGTGGGTGAGGAGTGTGTGGTGTGGGTGAGGAGTGTGTGGTGTGGGTGAGGAGTGTGTGGTGTGGGTGAGGAGTGTGTGGTGTGGGTGAGGAGTGATGGTGTGTGAGGGTGTGGGTGAGGAGTGTGTGGTGAGGAGTGTGTGTGACGGGAGTGTGTGTGTGGTGAGGGGAGTGTGTGTGTGGGAGGTTGGGGGTGGGGGCAGTGTGGGTGAGGAGTGTGTGGTGTGGGTGAGGAGTGTGTAGGTGAGGAGTGTGTGGTGTGGGTGAGGAGTGTGTAGGTGAGGAGTGTGTGGTGTGGGTGAGGAGTGTGTGGTGTGGGTGAGGAGTGTGTAGGTGAGGGGAGTGTGTGTGTGGTGAGGGGAGTGTGTGTGTGGTGAGGGGAGTGTGTGTGTGGTGAGGGGAGTGTGTGTGTGGGAGGTTGGGGTGGGGGCAGTGGGGGCAGCAGGTCGATACACTGAGTCCCTGTTGGATCACAGCACATTAGCAGCAGCCTCAGCTCTGCTCTGGGGAAACATCTGAAGCTGAGGTGAAAGTGATCCAGTGCTGAGGGTTAAACTCCCAGACAACACACACACAAACACACACACACACACACACACACACACACACACACACACGTAGCTATGAGATCTGAGCCACAGTGACTCCATTTGTCACTTATGGATTATCTGTATGTTATTTAAATATTTTGCTCTTTTTATCCATGTACTAACAAAAATAAATCAATCATTTAAACACAACTCTTTATGATCATGAACATAACCTGGAGTTTCAAGATCCCTCATATATGTCCTCACAGTGTCCACCCTTTGCTTTGTCAACAGCAAACCCTTGTCTTTCTCTCAGTGAGCTTCATGATGAAGTCTCCTGAAATGGTTTTCACTTCACAACTGCATCAGGGTCAACAAATGTCAAAAGTGCAAAGCCATGATCAGAGCAAAGAGTGAATATATCTAAAAATCTGAAAGAGGTTTGGAGTTATTTGGAGTTTATTGTATGTCCAGAGGAACATTTCCATGGAATAATAATTTGTTGAATTTCATTTTGCTCTTTAATGTTTTCTTCTCAAAGCCTTCACAACTACATTTCTGCCACAGCTGCCCTGGGGCTTATGGACACATGTGGATGCCATTCTATAATAACTGCACTTCCTGTATTAGCACATGACATCACAAGGTGAAACAGAGTGTTTCTGTTGTTGTGTGTTAAACATGTGAATGAAACAAATCACAGCTCCAGCTCCGTTTGTGGTGACATGACACAAACTAATAGTGTCTAATATGAATTGTAACTTGTGTGGTCTGACAGTGTTAGTTTGTGAAGTGGTATTCAAACACCTCATGAAGTTTGTTCACAAACTATCCACTTCCTGTATACTACAAAAGGTCATATCAGGATTCACTCTTGTAATCAGTCCACTTATGCATTTTCTGCATTAACATTCCTCCAAGACGCTGCTCTTAATTAAAAGCTCGTCTCAGATTAATTATGAAATGTAAATTTATGCTTGAGATGAGTGACAGAGCACAGGCCGGGTCACAGGAGGAGGAGCTGTAAGCAGAGAGAGCAGATACGGTGGTTACATACTTTTATTGTGCATTCTGGTTGGGTATGTGCCAGCGTACAAGAAAGGCAGAATTATACAGAGTAACAAAACACAACATGGTAAAATAGAAAAATAATAAATACGACATGAGAACAAAATAAAGCTTGAGGAAGTGACAGAGGATATGGCTGCAGGGTGTGCATCAGGAGCCACTGTCCTGTTGGCATCATGTATCTGACCCGCACACACACACACACACACACACACACGCACACACACACACACACACACACACGTATTACACACAAGGCCTGGTCACTGTTGAACAGTGTGTCCAGCTCATTGGACCAGGCACAGGCACAAGAGAAAGTACAAGTCAAACGTGAGGTGGGCTGTGCTCCAGAGTGGCGATAAAAACAGAATTCTGTTCAAAGGGAATTGGTTGAAAATCAGTGCAGTTTTAAAGCAGGCGGCTGTAACAGGCGTAAGAACGTTTCCTCCCACAGACACAACTGTGGAAAACAAAGCATCGGCTGCAAGACTGTGGAAATACACAGCCAGATGGATTTTAAGCATAGTAGCTCTTCTCTTTCCATTTTCTGTTTCTGTATGAACTGATATATCATCCATCCATATTACTGATGTCATTTGAATTAGGCCCACATGCTGAAAGAGATTTGGTTTTCACTAGTTCAGTTTCATTATTGCAGCACAATTCTTCTGGGAAACCAGGACAACATCTGTATTCAACTACTACTGAGCTTTAAGTCATGTTAGAATGTTGTCACCTCCTCAGAAACAGCTGGAGTTGTGTTTTGTTTCATTCACACGGTTGAGTAACTCTTTATTATTAGTCTGTCTACATCTCCAAAGCTCCAAATGCACCGTGCCACCTTGTGATGTCACGTAGTGGTAGTTTTCAAGTGAACAGCTCCTTTTACCTTTAGTTCAGTAGAAATAAGAAATTCCAGGACTGAAATCATCCAAATGATTCCTATATCACCAAATGACATCACAAAGTGGAAGAGACAGTTTTAAGTTTAAGAGAAGAACTCTTTCTAAATGTGCAGGGTTTGTGTGTTAAACATGAAACAAAACACAGCTCCAGGTGTGTTTGTGAGGAGGAAACTGCATTATACCGTATGTGGATCAGAAAAGAATGTCATATGGACACTTTAAAGTGAAAAAACATTGAAATGAAGATGAAAAGTGAAATATTTGACACTAAAATAGAGTTAGGCTCTTCAGGTCTCTGTTCTGTGGTCTCTTCTGTAGCACATGTAATTGCACTTGAACACTGCACACTTGGCTCCATCAGCGGTGCATGAAAAGCCAGTCTTTAGTCACACAGTGTCTGTCTGAGCCTGGACTGTGCAGAGGAGCTGTCCTCTCCTGTGTGTTCATCTCCAAAGGCTTCACTGACCCCTCACTGCTCACAGACCTCTGCAGTCCACAGCCAACGTGCTACTGATACAGACAGGACAGCTGCGGCCTTCCTCTGGTCATGTGAGCTGAGGTAAGCAGTACAAGAGGCACACACAATCACACATTCTCATCCCAACACATTAGACAATTTCAAGTGGGACAATACAACATGAAGAAGCACTCTACAGAAGCATGGAAAGTGGAACTAAACACTAAACTGTGTGTATTGTGTAACTGTATGATCAAATGTGGCAGAAGATCTTCGAGAGGAAACACTTGGACCATTTCATCAAAACTGAAACACCAGAGCAGAGTAAGAGTGAGACGTTTCCTAGAGGCTGCTGTGATGCTGGAGGACACAGATGAGGGACACTTTTGACCAGTCGTCCTGTAAAACTGCACTGAGACCTTTGACTGAGACACAAAGGAAACTGAGACGTGCAGTGAAAATGCTGCAGCAACATCAACTTCAACAGTTTGCTGCAGCAAAACTTGAATTTCCCTCAGGATCAGTAAAGTCTCCCTCTGTCTGTGTGTCTCATCTACTGTTCCACGTAACTTTTAGAAACTTTTGTGTGAACTAGATACATTTGCAGCTTTCTGGTGACAACCAAATCTACATTTGTGCTGCCTTCAGTGGCCTCTGTGATTCCCAGTAGTTGGTGACATGACACAGAACTGCCCTGATTACAGCCAGGAGTTAGGTGGACACCTGTTTGACCAATCACACTGTTTTTATACCTCCAGACCCCGCCCCTCTTCCCCGCACTATCAGCTCTATTTGAAATGTGGTTTTAGGAGTTTAGGTGTCCCACTTTTATCAAGGTATGTTTTTATTAATTTTTTGTTGATATGAACGTAATTAGTTAGTTATTATTATTAATCTACAAAATAGTCTCTAGTCACGCTTACGTTACAAACCAGGAAGACGTTTGGAAAGATGCAATGACATCTTCTGGTGTAGTTCGTGACACTGGGTTCACCGACCGACTGTGATCAAACCCACTGAAGTAAATGTGATAAGTGGTAAAATGAAGACTGAGGACGTATGTGCTGTTTGATGAAAATGATGAAAACTGAGGTGTGGTTGGAGTTGCTGATTCGCCGAACAAAACGGAACGCTACAATGACCTGGAGATGAATAAAACTGGGCCATTTTCTCAGACTTATTATCGTGAACAGAGCCCAAAGGAAGTCGTCATATTTCCAGACGTCTTCCTGGTTTGTGACGTAAGCGTGAATAGAGACTATTGCACATGTCACTTTTCATTTACAGCTGAGTCATTTGGAATTATTGGTGCTCACTTTCTAAGACTTCTAAATACTAAACCACAAACTCCACCCACTCCAGGAGGCAACGACCAATCAGCTGCCCTCTACATCCAGTCTGTGGTTTATAATGTTGCCTCTTAATAACTGACTAAAACTAATAAGCCTAATCTGGTGAGTGCTTTCAGAATTGTAAAATATGATGGGATGAAAATGTGCTTGAAATACTCACAGGCAAACCCCCTGTACATTCAGTAAGGACAGATAACCCTGATGCCCTCCCAGAGTGCTCCCGTGCAGTTCGTCTGGGTCCTTCTGAGAAGCAGGCTCCAGGCTCTCATGTTGTGTAAGGCAGTTTCATGTAAAGTCTCTATCAAACCCACAGCTGGGCCTGTTCTGCAGTCTTTCTCAGTGGAATAAAAACAGAGAGAGTGAGTCTGGTACTGCTCCATACACACGTTGTGTCCTACAGCTCATTCTTCTGAGGACCAATCGTATTCAAGGAGGTCAGAGTTTGGAGACCAGTGATCAAAATGGCTGCTGTTTGACATTGATTGTTTGCTGGTTCTGTTTTTTTTTTTTTTAAAGTCCTATATTATGAACAAAATGACTGTGATCTTATAACCATGTTAGAATGTTCCCTCCTCAAAAACAGACCTGGAGTTGTGTTTTGTCTCATTCACATGTTTGAATAATCCATTATTATTAGTCTGTCTACATCTCTCAAGCACAAAATGCTCTGTTTCACCTTGTGATGTCATTAAGTGGTCATATTAAAGTCAACAGCTCCTTTTTTTAGTGGAGATTGGCTGAAATTATCCAAATGATTCTAGAGAAGGTATATGGAGTTTAACAACATTGTAGCACTTCCTGTGTTACTAATCCTAAATGTGCAGGTTTGTGTGTTAAACATGTGTGAATGAAACAAAACACAGCTCCAGGTCTGTGTGTGATGAGGAACATCATCAGAATTATTATTAGATCAGAAAATAGCCTAATATGGGCCCTTTAAATTATCCAGCTGTTCTCAGATACAAGGTTAACATGTTCAAATGAAAGATACATGTCACTTTGTGCATTCCTCATCATTAGTCTCATTAGTCTGATTGTAGCAAACAGTACCAGACCCTTCCTCTGTAGAACAGACTGTGTTCACGTTGTAGAAGTCGTATTTCAGATAGAGGGCGGGGGCCTCTACAACTCGATGGAGATTCACTTTTTCAGAAAGTTTGTTTGTGATTGGCTTTACAAACTTCCCATCTTGATCTTGTGACTTAAAAGTCATTTCAACTGACAACAATCACGTCTTTGGGGTTGAATAATGGCAACACTTTCTGAAGCTACAATAAAAAAAAGCACTTTCTTCTACAAAGTTGTGATGTCACGTGAACACGTCCTTTACACTGACAAAGACTTGTGTGTCCAGGCTGTAGGCCGTGTGCTGCTCTGGTCCAGTCCTGGTTCAGGCTCAGCCCTGGTCCAGTCCTCATCGAGTTCTGGGAGCTCAGACTTGGTTCTGCTGCTGCTGCCTGCGCTCCTCCAGACAGCACCTCACCCACAGGGAGAGCACCTCTGAGCTGCCATCATTGTACTGGACTATGAACGGGTGCTCCTGCAACACAACAAGAACACACATTCATTACATTTGCACATTCATTATATTTGTCTAGAAACATTTATTAAAAGCTCTGGAGCTCAAAATACAGACGGTGAAAAGAGATTCATGAGTATATATGTGATACTTATACGGGCTTGACTTTCTCAAATGAGTGACAAACAATATTGAACTTTTCCATGATAATATTCTAATTTTTTGAGATGGTCTGTAAGTCCGCTGCATGCTGTCTGCAGCTGATGAGACAGCAGTTTATTGTCCGATAATCAGGAAATGCATGTTAGCCTGCTAGTTGTTAGCGTTATAGTCAAGAAAAAACAGCAGAACTCTTTTTCCTGTGAAGTTAAGAGAAGAATAACTTTAGACTTTGGACAACTGCAAACTGTTTAAAATGAACTCATTCTGTTTTTTGTTTGTCGATTTATTTTTACATGCAATTTCCCCAAAGAGTTATTTGAGAAATAAGAAAGGAACAAGGTCACATGTAACTTTACAAAGCAGGGGCCAATCACTGCATGTCACCATGGACACAAGCAAGTGTCAGACCCCCTACCAGAAAAGTTACACAGTGAAACTTTATTGATGAATCAAAATGTCTACCAAGTTTAAAGGGCTCATGTTATGCTTTTCTCCTCTTATTTTATATATTGTTTTCATATTGTTTCCTCATCACAAACACACCTGTGTTTTGTTCTTAACACACAAATCCTGCATATTTAGTTCTTTTCACAAAGAGAAAACACTCCACCTTGTAATGTCATTAGGGAAAATAGTGCTTTACTGTGTTTTAAAACTCCACACAAATTCACTAGAATCATTTGAATAATCTCAGCCCTGGAATTTCTGATATCTACTAATGTAAACTAAAGTTAAAAGGAGCTGTTAATTTAAAAACTACCTCTACATGACATCATAAGGTGGAACAGAGCATTTTTAGCTCTGGAGATGTAGACAGACCCATAATCCAGGATTACGCAAACATGTGTGAATGAAACAAAACACAAGTCCAGGTGTGTTTTTCAGGAGGTAATGATATTTTAACACGGCTTAAAGGTCACATTAATATATTTTGCGTAATATAGGACCTTTAAATATGAAGGAACATGCAGCCATCACACAGAGCTCAGACTGATATGACCTCTCATAAAAGTGCTATTTAACCAGACAATTGTCAATAGTTTGTACTTGGGTTTTATGAGCACCAGACTGACGCCACAAAATCAAATGCAACATTCAGTGAACAAAGTACCGCTCTTCCACATGTGCCGTTATTATACAAAATTACTCCAGAAATAATCATAAAAGTCTAATAAATTAAAATGGACTTCTATGAAAGCCTCCTAAATATTTACGTCCAACAGATTTTGTTTTAAAGGCACAGAGCGTTTTGGCAAATGGCAAACTAGTTGATTTGAAGGAGGTGTGCAGGGAGATGGATCATAACAGGTTGTAAAGTAGGCTTTGTAATAAACGTTGTCATAAAAGTTAACAGCAGCAGATCTGAGCACAGCCCCAAACAAGAGCCCGGGACCGCGTCAATCTGGACCTGCCTGTGGAGAAAACAATACAGTCATTTGAGTGGGGCGTGTGAGACCAGACATGGCTCCACAGAATGACAAACAGCACAGAGGTGTGAGGGGGGTCGCTTTTCAAGGATTTCCACTGGGCTTTGGTTCGGTTCAAGTGGGATCGTAACATTCAAAAGTGCCGAGGTGTGTAATAAGAGTCAAACATGATACAAAGTACAGAGCCTTCTATGTCAGCTGTGGACTTCAGTGAAATGATCCCCAAACCGGAACTGAACAACAACTGCAGTTTCAATATGAATAACAAAAAGCTCAAGGGACGACAACAGCTCAGTTGGTAGTGTTTGTCCACTGGTCCGAAGGTTGTTGGTTTGAATTCCACTCTCATTATAAACATCGTTAGTTGAGAGGTTGCATCCAGCATGTGAATGTGTGTGGTTCCTTCATGTAGTCAATATTTCTATGAAAACTGTACGTAAAAACACATTTGAAATTTGCCCTTCTAATAGATCATTCCAGTTTGTACATTTTTGTCATTGCAGATACATCAGTGCAGTGAGACTGTCCTATTCATGGTTTCAGATATTTAAAAAGTTCAATCATGTCTTACCAAAACATTTGACCATGTCCCATGTCAAATCCTTCTCCATTTGCACCAGTGAAAGTCATTTCAGACAGTGTTCACACTGGGTTTGGTCTTCTACTCTGGACTGGCCATTTCAGATGTTTAAACTAGACATTAAACTAAATCTACTTTTATGAGCTTTTAACCAAGCTCAAGTGCAAGCAAGACACCACTGCTCAGAAAATTCCAGTTTTCCCCTACCCCCTACACATGCTCACTGCTCAGTACTTAACCAAAAACAGTGACACATGTAGACTTCAACTGTGTGTAACTGTGTTACAAATTTAAAAAGCCACTGCTTGCTAAATTAATAGTATCAATCCATAGGTGGGACCATCGGCCTGGTCCAGTAAAACAGCACTTTGTGCCATTCACAGTGATTTGCTGGAAAGGGAAAGTCTGAAACCAGGATTGAACCAAAGTCAATGGTGCTGTTTTCATTCTAGTCATTCTAGATCAACATTGCAATATAAAATGAATAAAAGATGAAATGATCATCTCCATGAGCTGTAGATCAGAACTATACACAGACAAAAGCACAATATGTCTTCTTCAACAACAGTCTTGTCTGACATTTCAAAGGCGTTCAGCTCTTAGAGCTCATTCATTTCATTCCGAACTGCAAACTGAAAAACCCACTTTGCTGTGGATCCCACCAATTTGCCCAACAGAGACGTCACATCTGATATTTCACAGACCCGCCTCCAGTCGGAGTCGGGGTCATGAACCACACGGGGGTCAGAGGTCGCGGGGGCGGAGCTGCTGAATGGTCCAGAGGAGAGGAAGGAGCAGGACTTTGATTTGTCCTCTCTCTGTTCATTAGACGGACAAGAGCGAAGAGCCGGAGCCTAAATGGACTTGTCAACAGTGATTTGAGAGCGACGTGTCCACTACAAGAGGCTGTCAGTGTCTGCTCTAACTAACATGTTAACCTCCAGGAATCAGCTGCAGAGGACAATCATGGACAGGAAGAGACACACGCAGCAAAAAGCAACTAACAGCAGTTCTGCTCCAGCCTGACACACAAACACAAAGAATACAAACATTCTGATATGCAATGAAAGGAAATGGATACTATGTTTGGACAATTCAGAAATATAAACTCCAAACTCAAATGATGAGAAAGAGAAAACAATCACTTCAGTCATTTCATGATCCTAATTGTGTTTTACAGAATTGTCTTTACTCAAGTTGAGTCACATCAAAAGTCCCTTTGTACACGCTCATGTCAAAGTTCAAATGTTTATTGTCAATTCTTCATAAGAAACAATATGAAGAATCAACATTGTGTTTCTCACTCATAAAGCAGACAATACCAACATGGAGTTTGTGCAAACTTCATCAGCGCTACATTGTAGCACCTTTAGGTCCCACTGTGGAGTGAATAAAGCATCTCTGAGGAGCTTTTATAAACAGGGTTTAATCCACATTTGTTCTTTTTTCATTTTCAATGCATAAGTAAAATGTAGTTGACACTACAGACCAGCATCATGGACTCCAGCTGGACACTTGATGAAAAGTGTGGAGCTGCTCTGCCCAGAGAATAGAAAGTAGAACGATCAGTGTGTAACTTTTAACCCATCGTGAAGCACCTATGATGATTTGTTGTGTATTGTAACAGTTCTGAATTCAGTGTGTTTACATTGCACACAAATACTGAATTTGCCTGTATGTGTAACTAACACATAACACTGTTACTACCTCTTGGACGCTGACGAAATGGAGATTTTTAATCCCAATAGAAGACAGTATTCCTGTATTCTTTATACTGTTGTATACTATTATTATTATTATATATACATATTTTTTAAATTCAAATGCTGAACATAAGGCACTTTTTTAAAGTGTCAAGGTTCACTGTCCCACTATATTTATCCAACAGTACGGAATCAGCAGATTGAGCCTGCCCTCCATCTCAGTTTAACTCTACAGAGAAATGCAAACAGATGACACCAAACTTTCAAACGTGTAATCTATGAGTCTAAACACAAAGCTAAAAACAGCCGTGCCCACATAGCCTTATTAATTACCTGATGATCCTGTGGTGACACTCCACCTTTCACTTCATGGAAGCAGCACACTATTGTTGTCAAGTGTGTGACATTAAACCTGCTGCGGGCCTCAAACTCGCACAGACAACGACAAATGAACACCAAAAAGTAGGACATGGAAGAGATGCACCAGATTCCACCTCCTGGGAAACTTCAGGCATCTATTTTAGGCTAAGATAACGATTAAACACGCGCATCTGTACTTTTTTTATTTATGTATGTTGCGATGTTGTGGTGAACTTTTCATTTATAAAGTGATATTAGTGCACCTCTTGCTAATCCCGTAGACACTGTACAAGTCCAGAGGGTGGCCCATCAATCGTGTTGTCCTTCTAATGGGCAGCGGGGTGAGCTCGTCTGAGGTTAATTACTCTGCGCTGAGTGCGACGGAGTGGACAGCGCGCTCCCGGCTGAGGCTGCACGCACCTCTCATCCATCATGTGTCCTTTCCTCCGCACACTCACATACAGCACAAGAAGACATCCAGAGACACGCAGGGACCTTTAGAGCAGACACGAACCCGGCCACAGCTCCACCTCAGACACGCACGAGGGCTGTACAGGACACAACCATCACCAGCACACAGGAGGGTTAGACAAGTTCACCAGAGCAATGAAGCAAATGATCTATTATTAAGACCATCAAACATCAGTCAAATCCAATGGGATCTACAATCTGAATAGTCCAGTTTCCAAATAGAAAAGATGAGTAATTCATATCTGAATGATCAAGAGTTTTCAGTCCAAATATTAATACAAATCATTTGGATTTGAGAGAATGTGCCCAGCCAAACCA